CGGGCCCATTGGGCCTGTTGGGCTTGTTGGGCCCGCCGGGGTCGTTGGGACCGCTGGGCCCGTTGGGCTTGTTGAGCCCGTTGAGCCCGTTGGGCCCGTTGAGCCCGTTTGGCCTGTTGGGCGCGTTGGGCCCGTTGAGTTCGTTGGGCCCATTGAGCGCGTTGGGCGTGTTGAGCCCATGGAGCGCGTTGGGCCCGTTGATTTTATTGAACTGACCGGTTTAACACCTGGGTTCTGACTGCACTAAGTGACGGGTTTTTTGCTGCACTAAGTGACCTGTTCAACACTTGGGTTCTGACTGCACTAAGTGACGGAATTTTTGCTGCACTAAGTGACCTGCTGACCATCCTGAGGGTAGATCAAATTCAGTTTTTGAAGGCGTCTTTTTTGGTCGTTTTGGTGAAACATAAAGGACACAGATGGCTCTGGTTGATCTGGTTGTTTCATAATCTTCCCGGGCCTATGGTCAGTTGTCCTTTCAACTCGGAGTTGGGATCTAGGATTGCGAAATGCTATCAATTGTGTTGTGTTTAACCAGCTCTATACCATTATCTTGTGATCCTTCATCTTACTGCTATATATATACAATTTTGATTTGGTTCACTTCTTTCTGGAAGACTTTTTTATCAGAACAATAATGCCAGTCAGCTTCCATGTTGGTGGCTTGGAGAGTTGACTTTGGCCCAAACTGCCCTGGCTGTGGTTGTCAAAACCAATGGGATTCCATTTTGGTTGGTAGGTGAATTCACCACCCATTTTGGAACCGATTTTAGTGGTTGGACTGGATTGGGATGTTCACTGGGGGTACGATTTGGGTTTTGACCCATGGCCACCTGCCAGGCTTGACGCGATGCCCGCGCTCTCCTTGAACATCTCCCGGCCACAGTGGACCAGCACTGCCGCCGGGGGCCCCAAATTTGGGGCCACCCGTGGGTGGAAAGCCACGCCCGTAAGCCCAGAAGAATCGAGCTGCAGATGGTGTTTTTGCCCAAGGAACACCCTGGAAATCAATGTTTCGGGGGTCTTTTTGCCCAAGCGAAGCACTCCCTGGCGAAGTGAAGGCTAAGAGCCACTTTTTCAAGGTGGGTGGCTCGTCTGCTTTTGAGGGTCCCCATTCTGGTGGCTTTAGAATGGAAGCACTAGGACAAACACAATTTTACAGGTCCTCAAAACAAAGACACACCCACCTGGTTCGGGACTTGCAAGATTGCTCGGCGCATGCCACGGCTCAATGTCGACCAATAAATCAGACAGGCCCCAGCTATTCGTCCTTTGGCCCCTCGGAAGATCAGATCTTCACAAGCCCTGTTTGGTACGATGAGCGTAGAAGGCACTTGCAGGTAGATGTGGTAGAATAATGCTGCAGCTCTAAACTGTATTGCTCATGATCAGCCTGAAAGAGATACATGCCGAAATCAGGCATCCATGCAAACAAACAAATGGGAGTCGTTCTAAATTGCCAGTCTTAAAATTAAGTAAAGGTCGAGCGCGAAAGGAAAACACTGCATCGCGAAAGGCCGGCGAAAGGAACACGAAAGGACTTGAAACATAGCGAATACATGGTAGAACCCTCGTTTGGGCTCGGAAACAAGTTTTTCAGGACTGGTTTGTCACCGCGAAAGGAAAACATGGGGCCGCGAAAGGACCGCGAAAGGCCGGCAAAAGGGCCGGTTCCAGAACTTTTATTTTGAACAACCCCCAAATGCGTATGAAGTCCCCTTCACTCGGGTTTTGCTCCCCTTACGAGAACTCAGCTCCGGATGTGATTCACGGAGGCGCTGAATACTCAGGTGGCCCGCATTGTCCAACTGTGCAGTCAGAAATGGTCTCCAGAGTTCACATCCTGGTGCAACGAAACGGGCGTCCATGTTGCGAAACACACTTGCCTTCAATCGGCGATACTTGGAATCCCAGGAGAAGGAACCTACATGGGTGTTTCTTTTGAGCTCGTGAGAAACACAATCCCATGTGTTCCCCAAGCAATATACGGGAAGCTGGGTGTGCCTCTTGGAGGGTAACTTTCTCTGATTTGTGCGGTCAGGAAACCAAAAGGAAAAACACCATTTCGGGGTCCCCTAGAAAGAGACCAGGGTCTTAGGCCTGAGGGTGCTAGTTAGACTACCTGATGGGCAAAATGTATCATTTTGCTCGTAGCCTTGGCCCAGAAGCTAACCATGCAGGAAATTATGAAAACATATCAAAACCAAATGCTTTTCACTGTGCATGAGTCCTAAGAGTATTGCTCGACATGCAATGTCCGATAGCGCCGCAAACCAACCATTTTGAGAGATCCCTATTTTGAGGACCCAGATTCAGATAGATGTTTTTCTGCGAAGCCCAAACAGTGCCATACATCATACATTTCAATTCGGGGGAAGCCATACGCGTTTCCAAGGAGTAGTTTGAGGGAAAAGGATCCCTAAAGAACAATCACTATATAGTAACAAAGTATGGAAACATATATCATGCGCCTGTTCAACAACTGTCCCAGTTTATGCACTTCAAGCTTGTTTGGAACACCATGTGTGTGGTAGGCGATTGTAAATCCAAGTCTTTCTCACGTTCAAAGTGTTTGACCCTTATATACTTTTTAGAAAGAGCATTTCAGTGGCAAACCAAACAAATTGATTCTTGTTTTGCCTAATCCACTCGATCGGAAGTGAGCCTTTGGACCAAATGGTCAGGCTACTCCCCATTGGTGGTTTGGGGATTTGAACCCCTGGTTCTCGTAGAGAATAGATGGGAAACCACCCCTTCACAACCAAACCACCAATCCAAACCACCAATGAGGGGATGCCTGAAATGGAGGTAGCGGGGAACTCAGAAAGCGCATGCCAGGAGCAACGGCTCTGGTCCTTGCTGCATAATGGCTATCCCCCAGCCGCGGCGGTGCGGGCCCAGGTTTCGTCAGAAGTTTTTTGGAGTTGGGACCGGTTTGGGGGGGGGTCGTCCGGGGTCGTCCTTTTTGGAGTTGGTCGCTTTTTTGGTTTTGGGTAGGGGTTCAAGGGAAAGCCAACAACAATTTGGAGTTGGTACTTTTTTGGTGTTGGTTGGTTTCAAAGGGAAACAAACAGGAGAACCGGGTTTTCCCATTTTGGGGGGTCGAACCTGAATAAAGACACACCCAAATGTCCAGCCTGCGGTGAAAGGAACATCGAGCAAATCTATAAAAGCCATTCTCACCAACACGCCGTGGGGGGGGTTGAAACAATTTGCGCAATTTGCTCTTGGGGAAACGAAGAATTATGATGGCTTAAACCCTAAACCCACCGGATTCACAAGAGAATCTCCTAATCTGGGGATTACTTCGCAATAAGTAAGTAGATTGAGCGTGGGTCAACATTGAAAGTGCTAAACCAGTGCAAACCAAACGTGGCAGTTGACGAAATCCACAGTTGGGTCACACCCTGAACCCCAGATGCCCAGTTGTCCAGCGGCACCCTTTGTGCGTGTGTGGGTCGGTTTTATTTTTGAGCAGCCAACGCAACAGGGCGTGCGTTTGTTCTTTGGCAAATCAACTATTGGGACACCCTCGTGGATCCTCATGGATCCTCATGGATCCTCATGGATCCTCATGGATCGGGTTTCTTTGTTGGCACATTCTCCAAGGGTGACAGGTGCTTAAAAAATGTGATATCCTACTTTCTTGTTGGCCGGGGGCCGGGACAATCCCTAAGCGGAAAGAACAGCCTTGCCAAGTTGGAATGACAGCTGGATTTGGTGGCGGCTCGTTAGTCGAAACTTGAGTTGTTCCCTTGATGATGTTGCTGCGTTGCTACCAACCGGAATAATTTACGTACTTTAGTTTAATGAGGTTGTGGCACAATTTTCAGTGTGGGAGGGACATCCCCAGTACCAAAGTTTCCACTCACTAGGGGACTAGGTTTCTCATGTCATTGGTGTAGCAGCGTATTTTGGTCAAGGCTCAAATATGTTTTCCCGCTAAAAACTCCCTCCAATCAAGAATGCACACTGCGAAATGACACCTAGGCGCGCCCGTCATGCCCTGCCGGGTGCATGTTATTGCATGTGGGTCGAAACACCCACACGAGTAGTCGTACACATTTTAGCGCAGAGAGAAGTTCCGGAAGCCAAGGCTGGCTTGTGCCGGACTTGCTCGTTGCTCGGCTTGTGCTTGCAGATGGAACTTCGAGGCGATCCCATTGGTGCACGGCGAAGCATGCGGGCGTGGAAGGAAGTTTGTCCGCTGCACGGCCTACGGTGAGAGCCAAGACGTTCTGACGTGGTCGCACCTTCCGAAGATCCGGATGCCGATGCGTGCTGGGAGCCAGCAGATTTTCTTTGGGCCGGGCAGCTCATGGGCAAAATAGTTTAGCGTGGACGACTGTTTGTATCAAGCTAGCCTTTCTTTTGGGGCAGATGTTCACAGCTCGTGAGTTTGGTCGAGCGGGTTCTCCAAAGACTGAGCTAGTAGGTAATACTCCCAAATGCTACGGTTCTGGCAGGTGTCATCAAGACGGAGATTGTCTGGTGGGACAAAGTATGAAATTTTCAATTGCTCCCTTGACTTTCTCTCAAAAAGCAGCCCCCACCCAATCTCCACTTGTTTGGGAGGTTTTGCCAGGCGTTCGTTTTTACAGCCGTGCTGCTGGTCACTTCATAGTTGGGACAGCTTCTGTACTTGGCTGCCTTTGTTTGCGCGCAAATGGGGTCATAAAGCTCCTATTTCCTGACAGCTTTCCACTTCGATCCGCACGGCAGTCATGGCAGTGAGTGTGTGTGTGTGTGTGTCTCTTTTTGAGGGTGATCCTTTCTTTGTTGCTGTTTCTTGAAACCAGCCGGGAAACCCACCATATGTCAACCACCACTCCGAATCACCAAAGAAGTAGCTGAATACGCACACCACCCACCTCTCGTCGGGGTTCCTCATTTAGAGGCAAATTTATACTTTACTCCAATTTGGAGCTGTCTGAAGGTCCCCTTCCAGTCAGGGTCCCCCTTCACAGAGTTATTTTGGCTGACGAATTCATAGCGCCAAGATGGATACGCTGGTGGCTGAGCTGGCAGACACACTCCACATCACTTGTGACACGGCCGGGGAGCGGGGTGGGGAGGAATTTGGAATTTGGAGGCAGGTTGTGAGGTTGGGGGAGGTTTTGTGGGGGGAGGTTTTGGGGGATTGGGAGGGGTGAGTGTATTGCCGCTTTCAACCGTGCATCAGGTTCTTCGCGCACTCTCACAGGGGGGTTCAATCAGCTCAGCTGCCAAGATTGTTTTTTGTTTGTTCCTTCTTTTTCTTTTTTCTTTTTTGCCCTTTGCAGTTCCTTATTTCTGGTTTGGGAATTAATACTCTGATCCTTATGTCCGGTGTCCTTACTTCCTTATTTCCGGTTTCCGGTTTCAGGTCCTTGTCCAAATATACGACACAACCGGGCTGCCCCAAGATCCCCTGCTAAAAGTTGGAGTCTTAAAATGGGAACCCCCACTAAGCCCTAAACAGCTAAAAAGCTATTTGAGGCTCACCACTGGGAGCGCTGAGTGTGTGCTGTCCCTCCATGAGGTCCGGTAGACACTTCACCCTTTCGAGTGGACTTGAGAGCTGGTCTGGGTGCGAAACGGATTTGGCTCAATCGAAAGCCCATGTTCATCATGTTCAAGTTTTTCTTTCAGAGGCTTGTTCGGGTTGTTGAATTGCAAAGTTAAACGCGGGCGCAGATTTATGAAGGACCCTGTTTGGAGGACACCTTTCTATTTTTCAAATCGTTGGGGACGTGCCGTTGAGCAGGTGTCCTTTCTTGCAGGTTCCCCCCCCCCCCTCCGACCCTGCCCCAAAAAGGAGGAGGGTGATGCTTTGTGACACTCTGTATTCCTCTTGTTTTTACTTTGGCTGCTCATTCCTCAGGTCTTCTTCAGAACATTTTTTGTAGGGTAGACTACATATGAAGCAGACTTCATTTTCAGCGAAACCCAAATGAGGCCAAGATACCCACATGTGACTGTTCCAGTAGGCCTCGCAGTCCGGTTCAATCTGTTGGACCCCGTCGACAGTTCGCTTTCGTTTCTTTAGCGAGTCACAGGCCCTACGATCTTTCAGCTCTTGTTGCCTTTTTTAATCGACGTATTTTTTGACATGTTCAAATTGTTAGGTCCAGTCATTGTCTCAACCGCGAAACCCAGCCCAACAGTTCCCAAGCAGTGAGCAAATTATGTTTCTGAGGGTCTGCACCCTCAGGCGGAAATGTCTGGTCCCTGCGTGTGTGTGTGTGTGTGTGTCTTAAAGCGGATAGCATCGTCAACCCCAGAAAGGAGGTGTTTCCTTTTGTTTTTTTCTGAAAAGGGCTGAGTTCTTCAAAAACACTCCTTAGTCCTCGTGCCAGATGGTAGTGTTTTCCAGCAGTGTCCCTCTAAATATCAATATACTGTTGATGGACGAATTCCTGCACCACCTAAGAAACCCTGGAATGATGATTCCCCCTATAAATACCAACAAACAATGTTTCCTACGGGTTCTTTTTTTGGTGCAGGATTTCGTCCACCCACAGTAGTCTCCCTTTACTTTCTTTTTGCAAGAGGTCTAAATCTGGCCCTCCTGCGGATTAGGATTCGGGATCCCGGCTTTCGCATGTTGAAAATTCCGCCAAGAAGGTACCATCAAAAAAGACGCACCCCTGTCTCAACCCGCCGAAAAAGGGGGAACCCTCACCCCAGCGTCGTGATGAAACTCTTGCTTCCCTGCCAAGGATGTGTCTCCAAGGGAGAACATGCGGTTCGTCCACTATGGCATTGCTCACCCCTAGTTTCGAAACGAAACCAGCATTTGGTTCAAACAACAAGGACACGTTCGATTCACCCCAGGTTTCGCAACGAAACCAGCAAATTTGGAGGGAAAAAAAAGAAGAAAGGAGCAACTCGTCATAGGGGCTGGGGCCATCCCAAAAGGCGCAACTGTCAGTTCGAGAGGCGCGGCGGGAGATCGAGACGCACTTGGACCTGGCCGGCGTCATCCAAGGACAGACGCGTTTTCTGCTCGGCGCCAGCGGTTTTTGGATGGATCTTTTGGCGGCTCCAGTGGTTTTGAAGGGAAACGGCTCCAGTGGCTTTACGTTTTGAAGGGAAACCAAGAGGCTGGGAGTTGATGATGTCTTGGGGCTGAAGATTTTTGAGCAAGGAGCCCACCAAGCGTGATGCCCATTCGTTTGGGCCGTTCTTTTCAAACAACCAACGGTTCCCTTGCTGTTTGGTGTTTTTCCCGGCATGTCCGATTTCACCATTGACGACCGTGTCTCTCGTTGCGGGGTCCCAATTTTCGGTTGGCAAATTGGCATAGTGTACCCAGATGTGGCATTGTTGGTTTGTGCTTTGAAGCAACCGGCCCGCACCATTGAAATGGAAGCCAGGATGTGCTCAAAGAAGCACGGATAAAAATGTTGCCTTCTGTTCAGCGTGCAAGTGCCATATAGCTTGTTTTGTTGAACATGACACGCAAGACTCATTTGGAAAGCAATCAAGGCAGCACTCCCGTCGTTCCGAAGCAGGTATGGGCCAAAGCGCGTGGGATCATCTGGCCTCAAGTTGCGACCTTTCATTCCCCCTTCAAGACCTTCTTCGGTTTCACTTTGAAATCTTCAGATTTTTTAAAACTCCTTGGGGAACAGTTGGACACTTCTCCACCAGCTGGCAATACAAAAAAAACCGGGTAGATGAAGGTTAGTCGGGGACAAGCCCAGGCACAAACAGTCGCGGCCGCCTTTGTATTTCCTTACATGCTTCTGGGTCAACCATTTGAATACCGGGTGTCACGTGTCCTTGGGACGGGGCAAAGATCGACGTCAAAGACGCTGCAGGAAGCCCTCAAGGCGGCGCCACGCCGCTGATCCGCACGGTGGGGCAGACGCCCAAGGAGAGGAGACGCTGCTCGAGTGCAGTCCTTACCAACGGAATGTGATCAACATGTGTGTGACGTTTCTCGTTTTGTTAGATGAGAGTTTCGCTTTTTGTTCAAAGTTGAGAATGAACACATGCATTGAATTATTCATACATGTAATGCATGACCGTTTTGCGGTTCTAGTTCTTTTGTTTTTGGTTGGAGGACTTTCTGTTTGCCCGGTCTTGTCGGTTTCAAAGGGAAGCCAGGAGAGGCATCTCCTTTCTGGATTGAAGCACTTTGAGGTTTCTTCTGTTAGTCTCGAGGTCTCGGGAATAGCAAATGTACAGCAACATGAAGCCGATCATTTTTGGGCAGACGCAGCCTCTGATTTTGAGAACAGGGCAGGTTGGACTAGGGCTTGTCGATTGGCGTACACGTCGATTTGGGTGTGCCACTTTGTTTTTGTTGGAGGGTACCCTTGAGGTGCTTGAAACGGACCAAAGGAAGAACTCCACTGCTAGTTCCAACATGTTCCAACTTATGCTGAAACACATTTGTTGACCCAGTTTGGTTTAGAGCGAAGTGGGTGCATGACAGCTTGTGACACTGAAAGCGCGACAGTTTCTTGTTGTTTCAGACCAGTTTTGAATTTCGCAGACCATTTTGCGTTCTCCAGTCGCCAAGCATTTGGAGAGCCACAGGTTTGACGGGCCAGTCTTCTTGCCTGAGTTGGAGTTGGCAAGCTTTATTTTGGAAGGATCATGTGAGTCATAGGAGTTTAGTTACTTTTTTGTTGGGGCCAGTCAACTCAGATGTTTCTTGCTCGTGTTGACCTCAACCTGGCGGAATACTGGGCAGGGGGTGCTTTCGATACAAAGGTGACCCGGAGCCCTGCGCCAGGGGTTTCGTCTCGTGGGCTCCCATTGAGAACCGGGGAGGGGGGGTGGCCATGCCAACAACTCACTTCCCGAGTTGGACTGCGTTTGGGGACTCAATTGATTTGGGGACGTATTTCCCATCGTGTACTTTTGGCAAGATCCACTTGTCAGCTGGGGTAACTTGGCAACTGGTGCTTGCAGTGGGGATTCTTGTCCTTCGTTGGCCCTAATTCCCACCAGACCCGGTGGCACCAATTTGCTGTGGCAAGGGCTTCCCTTCAAGAAACAAGTGCCATGTCTTTATCCCACGGCTTTGTATTTTTTTGGGGGGAAGGGTGTCCCTTCCAAATCTTTGGCAACGAGCGCCAAGTTGTTTTCTTGCTCATGGAATCCACTGGGCTTCTGAGAAAATCGGCCGGGGGCATAGTTCCCAAACAAAAATCCTGCAGGGCATGTTCCATGATTTCCCCTGGGTAAGTAGAGACTCAGTTGCCAGGGAGATCAAGTTGCAAGGACCGGCGGACAGCTTTGGTTCAGCGGGGGGTAGGGACCTGAAGCCAGCTCCGGAAGCGAAACACGCCGGCCGTCTCACAACCCTCGGGGCGGAGGGGCCCATGGAAAAACCATCACTGCCTAGGTCCCAGTAGTGGCCTTTTACCGTTTCTTTTTTGGTTGGGAGGGTTCCCCTACTAAAATAGATGACACACAAAAAAACTGGTACCAACTGATTCTCACCTCTCTACTGCCAAGTCACTGCCCTCGCAATCTTTCACATTTGAACGGATCAGGGCGGTTGAGAGGTTACTGGGAACAGGACGGAGAAAATCATTGCGATTTGCAAGAATCTCTTTGGTAATCCCTGGTTTCCCTTAAACTCAAACTCCAAAAAAATCCCACTTCCGTTTGGTTTCCCACGGCTTCCTTTTTAAGTTTCCTTTTGGTGTCCGGGCTTTGAACCCCCGGCTGGCCGCCCTTCCCCGCGCGCCTTCCGCCTGCCCGGCGCTCGCTGGAGAGGCCGCCTTGCTGAACTGGGGCTCGCCGCCCACCTCCCCGAAGACTCCCACGGCCTTCCCCCCGGTGCCGGGACGCCTGGGGTCCTGCGAGCGCGAGCGAGCGAGCGAGCCGCGAGGTTGGCGCGGTTGGGGCAGTGAGGGGGGGGGGCCATGTTTTTGGTTGGAGGCACCCCCAGAAAGGGGGTGGTTTGATACAACTGACATCAAAGGAAGCTGTGGGAATCTATTTCTGTTGCAACCAGACCCTCTGTCAGGTTCCATGTTAATAGGTGGGAGGGTAATTGTGGGGCAATCCCGAGAGTGTAAGATGCCCTTGTAAATGGGGCGCGCCTGTGCACCAGAGGTTTGCAAGTTCGGTGCCTAAGTTGTAATACTCACTTCCCAAGTGCAGGCTGGAAAGACAGATTTTGACTTGTTGGTCCAATTCGCCTTAGAGGCGAGTCTAGGTGCTGAATAGCCATGTTAATTTCGCGAGCAGGAGTGGAGAGAGAGGATTTGGGGCCAATGCACTCTGGAATCGAGGTGGTTGCTTTTAACATTTGCTGTTGTTCGGTGTTTTGGCTGTTTGCTTTTTGCGAACATGCTCAGGGTTTGGAAAATTGCCTGGCAGACGCCTAGATATGCTTAAAATAGGAAATGCCAAGGAGATGATGTCCCAAAACAGAGGGCGAATCGGAACAGTTTGAAAAGGAGCCGGTGTTTTTTGTCTGACTCCCCTCGTGGATTTCAATCGAACCAAAGCGGGGTTCAATCCACAAACTCTCGCCTTGGCGAAAGTCTCCTCTGATCTTGGAAGCTCTCTTGAGACCGTAATCTGAGGTAGTTTCAAGCCCTCATCCGCGTAATGAAGAGTACATCGTCCTGTTTTATCTGGATAAGTTGTAAGAACAGGGACTCCTTTTCCAGAGCCTTTTTCATCACCTCTGAGGTGGATGCTGAAAAAGGCACACGCAAGTCTCGTTTGGAAGGCGCTGTGAAGCACGTCGTTGCGTTAACGCCTGTGCGACTCCCAGCTCAGCCGCTAAAGATTGGAGTTGCGTAAGGGGCCACCAAGTTCAACTTGGTTTAAGAGTGACACGGATTAGCTCTGCCTATGGTGTGTCAGTTTTTGAGAACCTTGCACAAAGTGTTATTTGTTTATTTTTCCTGTGCGCGTGTGTTTTGAAGGTACCCCTTTTTGGGCTGGGTTTGGGAAACCAAAAGGAAGACGCCACGCTTTTGGAGATCCCCTTCTAAGCACACAACCATTTCCCGTCAGTCAGGTCGCCAGATGTGCCGCCAGCAGGGGCCCCCAGAGTACTGGGGTTCCCCTCTTTCTTTCGGGCCAGGGTAACATGTTGTGTTGGCGTTTTTTCCTGCACCTGGAGTCTCTAATAATTACGCTAATGTAAGAATGTCCAGGCATACCTCCTGCGGAGTTGTTATTCTTGGGTTGGGAGAATGGAGACTCCAGGCATACCTCCTGCGAAGTTGTTATTCTTGGGTTGGGAATTCTTCCATTCGAAAGGAACGATGACAGCCGAAAAGGTTTTCCGCTTTCGCAGGGCAAGCGATTCTCTTGCAAGCTTTGAGAAAGGTCAGGAGTCGAACGATTCTTGGGGCGTACTTTCACGATGTGTCATCCCACAAGCCCGGTGGCTGTCTTTCTCCCGGGGGGTTACTGTCCTTCCCGGGGCACCCGTCCCTGAGAAATAAGTGGGGACAAATCAGAAAGAAGTTGCATCCACGCAGAAATGGGTGGCCGAGCGATCAACCCCACAAGGAAGCCTGAGGCATCAAGGCTCCATGGATCCGCCTAGTTTTTGGCGAGCTGGCCTGGGGGTAAAGCGAGCTCACCATGGTACAGATCCTTTGCTTGGGATGTCTTTTTCCAGGTTTTGGACATATTGTACCCTTGAAATTTCAGGGCCATCCAACACCCCAGAATTTGAGCGATCATTTGGCTCGGTCTCGAAATTTGGAGAGCCTCTACATGGATGGTGGCCTGTCAGCTGTCCAATAAAAGCAGCCCAAAAGGGGATGCCCTCAAAACACAGACACTCAGACCCGTTTAAGTGATGTTCACCAAGACGGTGGATCGACTTAAGCTTTACGCTCCCACGAACTAACTAACAGGGAACCCACCAGAGGGGGTCTTGCTATATTAGAGGAGAATTGGGTCCCAAGATTGGCACTCCGGCTATCACCGGAGCTTTGACTCGGAACCTCAGCTCTCGCTCCGAGCAGATTGCTGGTTGTGGATTTTAGACACCATTTCAGCTGCCAAGCTTTTGTCCAGGTTCAATTTCTGCCTTCTCCCGAATTGCCCTAAGGCTTGGGGCTAGCTGTTTGAGGGCTGTGAGCATTTGGCCCCAGAGGATCCACAGGTCAAGTAAACCAGAAGCGAACGGCATGCAGCCAATGGGCAAGTCCTCTGAAGACACGTTTGGGTTTCCGACCGATGACATGTGTTGAATTTTGTCTCCGTTTGCACGTGTTGCAAAAGGGATGGCACACGAAGTGTTCTGCATTGCTGACTGCGGATGGCCAGAATCCGGCACCGGATGAAACGTTAAGAAGACTGGGATAAGCCACCCAACTGGTGCCGATCGACTGGCCTGGATTCCGTCAGATCTACCGCCTCTTCATGAGGTTGAGCGGGTGCGGCGGCCTCGCGCAAAGACGGAGAGCAGCATGCGCGTGACCTTCCAGAACAGCGACCCCGACGTGAGCCCCAGGGTGCGGGGCCTAGAGAGAGACGCCAGAGGAGAGGGGTGCGAGTGGGGGGAGAAGGCTTGGAACATCGATGTTTCGGCCGGTCCTGTTTTGTCCAGGACATGTGTCCGGGAAAATGCGAGCCAGGAATCGGGGATGGAAGGGTTTGGTGCATGAACATGGTTTTGCGATAAGCCACGGCTCATGTTGGGCCAAGGCAGTTGATTGTCCTTTTCGGGCATCTCATCCGATAAGGTTCTGCCAACTTTATGGCGAGCGGAGTGTGATAGAACCAAACTGAACCCCGGCGATCATAGTAGCCAGACATGTCCGTCTCAGAGTAAGGTGATTCCCTTGTTGCCTGATTAAGTAAAACCTGGGCGCAACATCCCCATTCTTCGCAGGGGAAGCGGCTGGTTTGTGAAACGAATTATGGTTGAGTGGGCAATAGACCCCTAGAATCTAGGAGGCGAAGTACATACGCCTCTTGGGGAGGGGGAGAGGGTATGAACATCGGCAATCATTGTGGGTCATTTACTCTTAAGGAGTTTGTACAAGGGGTGGAAACACCCTTCCAAGTTGTTCAGTAGTCAGTAGCATCCTTTTTCTCTTAAAGAGTTCCCTGTTTCTAGCAGGGTCACTGGTTGCAGCTAGGCCTTAGATGGAATCAGAGACCTTGGAGCGTCACCAGGAGATGAAGGTGGAGGTGCGATTGTCGGACGGGCCCATCTCCACGGCAGTGGTGGCGCCAGGAGCTGGGGCCGGATGTTGTGGGTGTTTGTGTGTATGAAGGGGTGGGCGGGGGTGTAAAGGGGGTTCGGGATTGGGGTGTGTGTTGAGGGTGGGGTGTAGGGGGACTGAGGTTTGGCGGTTTGGGACGAGAAGTTTTTCTTTGGGCCGTTCAAGGCCTGTTTGCAGCTTTCCGAAATAAATGCAACCCAGGAGATGGTTGCAATATGGCAGACCGTCTAGATGCTGTTGGAAGACCAGGCGCTGTTGCTAATTACATGAACACTTCTGCATGCCATGTTGGCAACTTTGGCCTTGGTGATGAGCAATTTTGCCCCAGCACTGTTGGCCATGGGTCAAAATCCAAATCGTAATGCCAGTGAACCTCCCAATCCCCACTAAAACAGACCAAAAAGGCCGCGCACCTACCCAAAACGGAATCCCATTAGTTTTGACAACCACAGCCAGTTAAGTGATGGATACGTAGAGAAGTTCAGCGGCGTGTTCCGTGGACGTGCCTGGAAGTGTGTCACCGCTGGTTGCCGTGACCTTGCGAGTACCAATGGGAATCGGGGCGTGAAACAAATCCCAGCCTGAAAAGCAGGGGGCTGGTTGGGACTTACGCAGAAATCACCGCCCGTTTGAAGAACAGGATGAATGTATCTTGTTGTGATACTATTTTAAGTTGCTGGTGGCAACTTCGATCCTGATGTGGTTAACCTCGGGGAAGGTTGTCCTTTTTCCGCCCATTAATTCCAAAACCCCCATTCCAGTGTTGGCCTGGCAAGATCGGTTTCGTTCCTATGCCGCTCAACACGAGGGTCTTTTGGTTCCTTCCATCGGAAGTCCTCTGAAGCCAGGCGGCGGCACTGGGATCAACGGGGCCATCTACTCGGAGCTGGGCCGCAACCCCTCCTTCAAGGCGGAGTCGATCTGCACGTCGGCCGAAGCTTCGGCGAGGTCGCGAGAAATTGGGGCCAAAGGGCCAGGGTTGCGTGCGAAAACTGGGTACTACCAGACCCGCCCTGAAGCTTATGCTTCTCGGGGAACTTAGCTGGGAATCAGCGGGGTCTTGGAAATGAACCGGTTCGGTCTGGGGTCGTTCCCTGCTGAGAAGCTGCGGGGAGGTTGCGGTTGGAGAGGCAGCTTCGGTGATTGGAATCGCAATCCCGAAGTTGATCAACGGATCTCTCCAAAGATGAAGGCTTCCTTTGTCCTGTTTTTTCAGGGTGACTTACTACAATTCACCGTTTGGGGGTTGTGGGGGGACAATGGGAGGAGAGAAGTTGAGAAGTGTGCAGACTGCGTTGAGACTTCGTGAACACAAGTGTCCCAACTTTCGGATGTAGGGGCTTCAGCAATGCATCACACAATGGTTGAACAGTTGCAGGATACCTGAAATTCCAGGCTGCTCGAGGCTTGATAGCCCGCAATTGGAGATTTATATAGATGTTCTTAGTTCGGTTCCATGACTTTGTCACGCCCCGACCCGATTCCCTGGACACATGATTTTTAGGTAGGTGCTTCCATTTCAATAGCCACGCCCATGAGCCCACCTGGTGCCTGATCAGAGCAGCTTGCTGTTCCCATACGTGTTTGTTTCGAGGGGCTCTTGAGATGGTGGGAAACTAGAGAGACAGAGAGAGAGTGCAACAATCAAACCGGGTCAGTCAAAGTAGACAAGGTCCCAACCAAGAAACGGTTTCAGCGCCGGGGATTGATCGTGACTCGCATTGCTTCCATGTGTGCTTCAACATATTTGAACTTGTTACTTTCACCAACTTCAAAGGGCATCTATCACTAAAACTTTAAAGGGAATCTATCACTACTGGATATAATCATGTTGTTCTCCCTCTTCAAAGGGCATCTATCACTAAAACTTTAAAGGGCATCTATCACTAAAACTTTAAAGGGAATCTATCACTAAAACTTTAAAGGGAATCTATGACTAACATGTCCAGTAGTCTACTGGATATAAGCATGTTTTTTTTTTTTTTTTTTTGTTTTTTTTTTTTCTGAAGGAAATGGAGGCTTGGGTCGTTGAGACCTTGGCAGGTAGAGGTGGTGGGCCGTTCCCGCGCCCCCTACGACGTGTACCCGCCCGGGGCCCAACAGAAGCCGCGCGCCTTCTGCGGCGCGGAAAAGGCGAGAACAAAATAGTTAAAGTCTATATCAACCAACTGGGGGCCCGTTTGTTGCAGAAAGACATGTCTGAGGTAGACTTAGGATACATTTTGCATTTTACCAGTGACTCAAAGTGAAGCAAATAAGAAAATATACATTCTACAACTGGGCCTAACTCTAATCGTGATGTTTTTTGGGCACAAAGCAAAATGGAGGTCTTGCAACAGTTGGGTGTCTTGTGTTCTCGCTTGCATGAAAGTACAATGATGTTTTTGTGCGCATCAGAAAGGACTCCTCTTGGGACCGCTATAGGGTTGTAACCCGGTATGAATTCTACGGCCCCCCTGGACTGCAATTTGGGGATTGATGCCCTCTTACATTTGGGTTCCCTATTTAAAACAAAACCAAACTAACAACGCTCAAACAAGCCAAGCCCCACAGCCCTCAAACAGACACACGAACCCCCCAAAGCCAACAAGTCCATCATCAGCAGTTCGCAACACCCTCAAGAACCAACCCCCAGCGCCCTCAAAAAGCATCACAAACCCTGAAACCAACCCACCAAAGAAGTGCCACACCCTCAAAGGAGCAAAAAGGTTCCACTCAAAAAAAAACAACACTCCAGGCCGAATCGCCCGAGGGATTGCAGCACCCGAGGCCTTGCTGGCCCCATGGCGCCCCGGCACCCAATCTCCAGACCTTTGCACGTGAGGCAAACCGGTGGGAGGTATGGCCGGTTTGTTTGGAGGGACATTTGGCTGTGGGGGTCAAAACCGTTTTGGGAGATCCCATTTTGGTTGGGATGGGTGAATTCACCACCCAGTTTAGCACCTTTTTTAGTGGTTGGATTGGGATGTTCACTGGGGGTATGAGTTTGTTTCTTTGCTCGGAGCAACGGTATGTTGCTCGGCCAGTAGCCCTAGCCACACCAAAGCTGGGGTGGAATCCTCAAACCTGGTGGGTTTTTCTTTGCAGGGATTTGGGTGTGGCTCAAAATTAAACAGGATACGCAGGTTTTGGTCCATGTTTCCACTTACCCATGGTGGTACCGATTTTTTGAGCCGCAGCCATTTGACAAGGGTGGCGACGAAGAGGAGCAGGAGGCAATGGCATGGAGTAACGGTATGTTGCTCGGACAGCATAAGTTAAGCCCTAGCCACACCATCAAAGCTGGGGTGGAATCCTCAAACCTGGTTGGTGTTTGTTTGCAGGGATTTGATAAGGGTGGTGATGAAGTGGAGGGGGAGGATGAAACAACAAGGCATACCCAACACACAGCCGCAACCTGGTCCTGGTGTGCATTTGCAAGCATGATGGTCTACCCCTATCTAGCCAGGGCCGATGTTGACAAGGCCCGTTCTGTAAAAATGTTGCAGCCACTCTGGCATAAACGTACCCCTTGTGATCATCTGGTTTAATCAAACACAAGTTCCGCAAGCCTGCCCACTACCAAGGCCTAGTGACCCAACCAATTCGAGTCCTTTGTCCTTCCGTTTCCAGGCGGTCCGCTGGACCCTTTCTTGAACAGGTGTTTCCCTTCTTGGCGGTCCCTTCGCTTCGGGTCTGTCGTTTTGGTTTGAAGGGGGTGGTTTAAACGGGGAACACAAGGAACACCAGAATAACATTTTGAGGGTCCCATTTTGAGACAAACTCACGGAGGGTTCAATCCACATATATGGGTGCAGGGGTTGTTTAGCAGACGCCCGCAAATGGTTCCTATCCATTGGGTTTGCCTTCAAAACAGCCCAAAAAGGGGTACTTCCCCCCCCCCCAAAGCAAGCATGAAACCTCACCGGGGGCCTCCTGACAGCCCAACAGCCCAACAACCCAACAGCCCATCAGCCCAACAGCCAACAGCAGCCCAACAGCCAACAGCAGCCCAACAGCCCAGCCCAACAGCCCAACAGCCCAGCCCAACAACAGCCCAGCCCATCAGCCCAACAGCCCAGCAGCTCACCAGCACCCCCCCCAGCCGATCAGCCCAACAGCCCAGCAGCCCAGCACAAACCCTAAACCCTAAACCCAGCAGCCCCAACAGTCAAACAACTCTGAGAGCCCACCAGCCCAACAGCCTCTCCCAACAGCCCAAGAACCCGATCCCAGAAAGCCTTGGATCCGATGCCCGGAAGGTCCTGGAGACTCGGGTCCACGAACGGGTGAAGGCCATGGTCTTCGGGTCCCGCGGGGGGCAAGTGGCCGGGCAGCTCGGATCGCGATCCAGCCCTCGGATGGATGCGGTCTCGGAAGGCGTCGAACAGGTTGGACCTAGGTCCCCCAGTGCCCTGTCCTACTGAAATAGACCACAGAAAAAAGTTGGTACCCTTATTCTAGATCCTCTCTACTGGAGGATCTTGCCATCGCGGTTTTGGGTCGAGCTGACTGGGCACTAAATTTGCACTGGATGGCTGGGTGACGCTTATTGACCCTAAAAATCAAAAAGCATCCCAATTGTTAAGAGAGGGTTGCTTGGCCCCGAAATGGGTTAAGGCAGACATGACACGGAGTGGCCAGTTGCAAGCCGAAAGGAAACCAACTCGTAGGGGAACACTTCATTCTGCGTACTGTTTCAGCTTGTCAGACCCTTAACACATCAATACCCTATAGGTTGTAAGCAAGATGTGTGCGCACGAGCAACCTAGGCCGAACTCAATGGCGAGGTTTTGGTCATGTTGAGTTTCTCAGCGAATCTTTCAGCAGATTTCTGGTGGCGCCGGGCAGTCGTCTGAATGCTGCTTGAGTATTGGAGCTGCTCAACCCAGAGCTTTGGCACACTCGAGCTCCCAAGCGGATTTTTCCGCTGAAAGCGTGGCGCGTCTGAAAACCCACTTTTGCCCAATCCATGTGGACTGGTGGGAAGGTCACCTCGAAGGGCCTCTTGCATGATTCTCTGGTACCTCTGCAAGGCTCCAATCACATAACCTACCTACCTGGGGTGCATCTTTTCCATCAAGGAATTGCACTGGGCCCACAAGGCACGTATCGCTCAGGAGTCCGACTCGACAGCTTTTGGGTTGACCAAACGTCAAACATAGCTGCTACTTGGCCCCTTTGGCCCCCCTTTGCTGGCCTTGCTTTGGTAATGTGTTCTTCCATCGGCCTGGAATTCGCTCGGGCTGAGGTCTTGCCGGAGATGTGGCAAGCGGAGGCGAGGGGCATCGCTGGGACGGGCCCCTCGCGCAACGGGAAGGTGGCAAAGGTTGCGCCCTTGGACTGTATGGAAGAGAAACCAAAACGACGCCTAATTCATTGTGCTCAACAGCAAATCGCTGTGCTCAACGGCAAATCGCATTGGAAGAACCACTCACTTCTTGAGTTTCTCCATATACTTTTGGGAAGACCCTTCAAGTGGCAAACAACAAGTTTGGATTTGGGTTTTGGCCAATCCATCCAAAAACTGAGACCCGTCTTGGAGCGATCCGTTCTTGGGTGTTTTCCGCCGATGGCTTCAGTGCTTCAGGCGGCCGGGGCGCCTCCGGTACCACCGGCCGTGGTCATCAACGGCGGATGCGCCCGGAGACCAAAGAGACCCAAGAGACCAAAGCGAGCCATTGGAAGATCCCCGGAAATGGCCTGAGATCCCCATTTGGGTGGTGAAATGTCAAACCAGGACCAACCAGGCTGACCGGTTTGAGCCATTTGGAACCCATTTGGTGTGGTTCCACGTTTTTTCGGGCAATTTGTTTGACCCACAGCCTTTGGTTTCATTTTCCCTGGGACTAGAAACATGGAACTTGGGGAATGGCTCTTGAAGGGGGGGATGGGGGCGCTTTGGTCATGGCCATTCGACGGGGATTCATGTCCAACCAGGCGGTTCTATCTCTTAACCGCTTGGCTCAGGTCAAACACTAGGAAGCCGAACCTTTGGCCCTTTGGGCCGCGGGAAACCAAATGCAGGTGGTTGAAGCAGTGCCTTAAATCATGCTTTAAACAAGGCCATGGCCCGCCGTTGGCCAGGTTGCTCCGAGCCTAAAATCAGCTAAAATCGATCTCCTCCAAACCGACTTTGGGGTAGACTAAATCCGAAACGGGGCTTGAACATATGTTCTGAACCCAGATGACTAAATTGAATGGCTATAAACCCCAAAGGAAGAACAATGGTTAGAATTCGTTTGGTTTCAGGCCCAGTTTCTCACCTACCAACAGGGGCCGCATGTGATGAACCCTAGGGCTACGCGTCGCTATTTTCACTATTTTCTATGGGGATCTCTTGAAATGGGATTGCCAGAGCCCGTGAGAGCAAGCAAGTCTTGGAAACGGAGGTTCTCACTGCGTGTCGACACCCCACGCATTCACGCATTCCCTTGCAGGATCCAAGGGATCGGATCGGTCCATTGGAGACCGCCTTTTGTCAGGATGCATAAGGGGACCATGGCAATGGCCAAGGGAAGTTGTTGTTTTTTTCTTTTAGGGAGCCTTAAAGGGAAACCAACAGGACACCAATTAGTTGGGCATCCCCTTATCTTAAGACAGCCCGAGTATGGCGTGTTGACCATTGAATCCATTTGGCTGGACGCAGAAAGCGGGCTCAACGGGTCCCAGGAGCCACCTCTGACACTCAGCCCCGCATGTTAGGTACCTCTCATATACCTTAAGAACCCCGGCCCAGTTTCTTCCCCTCCCCCCCCCCCCGCAGGGAACGGAAAGTTGGGCCCGGCTCCAGGGCGATTTGCTGCCGTTGCCGTGGCAAGTCACGCGAGCGCTTGTAGGTCAACTAAAGCACACCAGGCGATTTTGGTTCAGGCCGCTTTGAAGTGCCCAGGGGGCATCGAAAGTCCCAATCCGTCAAGGGCGCCCGGAGGAAACCGGCGCCATTTTCAAGTGTTCCCGGTTCCCCTACGACACCTATCGCCACGTTTTTTTTCGAGTCGAGTCCAAGCTGGTTGGATTTGTAGGCCATGAAGCTGCCCACGCCGGTGCTGTGGCCGGACAGTGCGGTGACCTTTTTGCTGATCGGGGGCAAGGACAACTTCAGGTGGGATGTAGGGAGCTTGGGATCCGTGGCTTGTGTTTTTTGGCTCGGTACCCCTTTTGGGTTGGTTTTAGAGGGAATCCACCAGGAAAACCACATGTTTTTTTGTTGGGGGGGTCCCCTGAGAAAGACACACCCCGCTTTTGGCATGATGTTGCAATTTTGAAGACTGTCCCGAAATTGCTGAACCCCTCCGCGAAGCCGACTCGGGCTCGGCCCACAAAGGAGCTCCATCCATTGGCTTCAGTTTCTGGGACCTGGTCTCGTCTGGGCTTCCCGCATACCGCCGGTGCTATGGGACTCCTGCAGGAAATGTATGGCCTACGGGGCATTGGACTGTTTCTTGGGGGGGGTGTCAAAGCAACAGAGGTTCTTCCCTGTGGACCTATTAGGGGGGGTGAGTGTAAGAGTGACAAAGTGATGGGCCCTTTTTTTCGAGCGGGCAAATGGATGCCTCTTGGTCGGCACCCTGCAGGGGGCACATGAGCATTGAAGACTACGTCACAGAGACCAGGACTGTCCGCATCTGTCCGCACGAGTGATGGACGCGGCTGACGGAAGAAAAAGTGCAAGCTGGAAAATAGGGCCGCAACAGGTTTTGTCCGGTTCACCTGGGCAAAAAAAGAACAGGAGAGTCTCCCAGTTCGGTGAAATGTATTCAGCTCTGGTCAACAGCTGAGCTTCCCAGCACAGATCAAATCCACCTGACAGGTGGAAGAGTTGTTTCCAATGGTTTCCGAGCTCGAGGTCTCCGACTGGCGCTTTTCTATACCCAAGAGTCCATGGTTTAAAGGGAAGAGGCTAGAGGAATACTGCAAGTCGGACAGGACGTAGTTGGTCTATTGTGGCTTTCCCCTCCAATCACGGAAGGGGCAAAGACTTAAGAGCATGTCTGCGCACTCCCGGAGTTCCTGGGCTTCAAGCTTTTTGGGCTTGGGAAGGCCATTCCAGGGGCAAGCAACCAGTTTGAGACTTTGGCCAATCCACTCAGGAAGTGAGTTTTTTTTGTTGGTTCCATGTTGGGATACTTCGCTTTCAATGGGAAGGTTTGGAGCTCGGACCGAAGGATCCCGCCCGGTTGCAACTCCTCGACACGTATAATTTGGGGATCACAAGCTGCAGCCCCTCCCCCCCCCCCACCCCAATCAAACAATAGATAGAACAACGAGACCAACCAAACATGCCGAACCCCCCTACCCCCCCCAAACAAAAAGCACACAAACAAACAAACAAACAAACAAACAAACAAAAACAAGCAAGCCAGCAAGCAAGCAAACAAACAATCAAACAAGCAAGCAAGCAAACAATCAAACAAGCAAGCAAGCAAACAAGCAAGCAAGAACAATAATAAGAAAGTCGAAGCCGCGGCTGTTCCGCAGGAGCAACGTCCCAGTGGGGAACAAGACCACCGCCATTCTCTTTGTACGAGCTGCTCAGCAAAAAAGAAGAAGCTGCGCTCAGCGAGTGGGTACCTCTTCATTTTTTGACGAGCTGCCGCGAGGGCTTCACTTCTTGGAATTAGGGCAAGGAGGATTTGAATCTCTAGGGCCCAAAAAACAAAGAATGAACGGGGTTGGGCAATTCGAAACCAAATGGCATGATGTGCGTGTGTAATACTGTGTAATCATTTAGTCTGGCTCTAGAATCCGGGGTTTCCACCTACGCAAATCGACAACTTTTCGGGTTAAGGCTACTTTGCAGACACGCAGCATGGAGTCCGTGACTGCTTGACTTTGGGGTGAGACACGATATACCCCATTGCCCGACCTCTCCGATATTTTTTGACCGGTTCATGCTTTGCTTCGGAAGCTCAATGTGTGCAAGTTGATGTTCGCTCGGTGGGATGCTCATCATTTGATGCTCCGTTTCGAAGGCGTGTCTCAGGATGCAGTCAACTTGTTTGCAGACTTGCCAACTAGGCAGCAAGTTCTCCAGAGTTTGTGTCGGAACGAGCCCAGCTATTGAGAATCAACTCACATGGGCGGCAGGCGGCAACTCGCCCTGCCAAAGTGTGTGTGTGGCATTTGAGTGGGGAAAGCGAACCTGATTGTCCAGATTGCTCCTAACTGCCTACACCCTTGCGGATTTGAACCATGAGCTACAACGAATGCAGGAGCATTTCTTTGCGGAAACTGAAAGGAACACAGTTGCGGTGGGGTACTGTTCACTTCTATGCCGATGCAATCTCATCTTACCTTCATGGGAGCTCAACTAATATCGATTTAGTTTTCACTTTGCGAGCGATTGCGGGACCGTGGGACCTGTGTCAGTCAGTGACTGGCTCGCTTTTTCGTGTACCAAGAATTGAGTTGTGGAAAGGGATTG